GTGCACAGCCCCCCTATGCTAGGTGGGAACCCCAGCCTGGCAGAGTCACTCTCTTCAGCCTGGAGTGGGCTAAGGGATGCTGCCTGAGCTCCTTTAGGGTTACCCTCCCTGGATGTGCCTTTTCCCACTCAAAAATGTCTTTTTGTTGATAGAAAAGCAGGATTTGGGTGGGTTTGGGTGAGCTGGGCCCAGCCCTCCACAGACAGACACCCCAACACACCACCCCAGCCCCATTTCCCACCCGTGCCAAGTGCCACTAGATGGCATTTGAACACCGCGCACCCGGCGCTCCCCGGCACCGCCAAGGCTTCGAGCCAAACCCCTCCGGGTTTCCCTGCAGCCTCCAAACCGCATCTCATCACCTGCCCGACTCCCAGTCCTCTACCAAGGGGGAGAAAAGCATCGAGCCAAAATAAGCCAAAAATCGGCTTAAAAATAAAGGGAAAGCGCAGAAATTGCAGAGAAAGTTAGAGCTTTTTTCTGTCGGGGGTTGTTACACATGGAAAATGTGGCTTTAGCTGCTCCAAAATGAGATTTTTGCCCTGTCCTCAAGGAAAAAAAGAAGCCAATTCCTTGCAGAACCCCTGGGTCTCACAGCACCCACCCCAGGCAACACCCACCGCGATGCTTTGGTGGCTGAGACACCCCCAGGGGTGGTGTAAATCTGGAGACCTGGATGAGCAGCCGTCGTGCTGGGAATATCTGACAGGCTTGAGAAAGGCCGTTTCAGGTACCACCTGATGGACCAGAGAGGAGAAATGTTAACCAAACCTGGTTTATCCTCCCCAGATTGCAGGGGTGGGTACAAGAGAGCTGGGCAGACCCACTGTCCCCATGGGCACGGCTCTGCTCCCTTGACACCTTCAACCAAGGAGCACAAATGCCTCCCCCACACACCTTGGTGCCCCCTTCAAAGGTACACGCTGGCAAAAAAACACCCAGAAGTGTCAGGATAAACCCTCCCCAGGCCGGAAAAACAGCCGAGACCCCCAGGAAGCATCCCCCAGCCAGGCATCCCCAAGGCTACATGCTGGCAAAAAAACACCCAAAGTGTCAGGATAAACCCTTCCCAGGCTGGAAAAACAGCCGAGACCCCCAGGGAGCATCCCCCAGCCAGGCATCCCCAAGCTGGCCCTTCCCTGGCTCCCCAAGGAACAATGGTGCTGATAAAAAGGGGCAGCATCAGTCCTTGGGGACAGCCAGAATTCCTTAAAGCCCCGGCTGGAGCTGAGGCAGCTCATAGAATCATTTAGGTTAGAAAAGACCTTAAAGATCATGAGTCCAACCCATCAACCCCATACTCAGGGGAGAGCACCCCTCATTCCCCCCCAGCCACCCCCTTTTGCTGAGCAGGAGCCAGGAGGAAAAGCACTTTTTGTTTTTTTTTTCTTTCAGTTGTTTATTTTCAAGCTCCGAAAGGGGCATTACAAAGAACAGACAGGAAAAATAACAACTGGAAAGCTGTTCCCACACGGCAGCGACGATGTCCCTTTAGGATGGAGGGGACAATGGCCGAGGTGGCAGCAGCACGGATGTGGGGACACGAGGCACCCCACGCAACCCAGGGTCCCCCCTCTCCCCAGGAAAGCTGCTCACCAATGAGCTGTAAATCCACGGTTCCAGCTCAGACCCAACTTTCTGAACCACATCTCCACCTGCTCTATTTTTTTTGACCCCTATATGGAGCCCCAAGAAGTATGAAAACCCCCACTGAGAGCAGGGAGCCCAGGGGTGGGGCGCAGAACTGAGCGCCTGGAGCAGCGGAGCTGGACAGGAGGCTTGTGCTCTCCAAGGAACTAGGGACCAGCTTCTTCAAAAGATAAAAACCACCCCTCACAACGGTGCTTTAAAGGCAAATTATGTCCCTGCACTGAGGGGCTGCAGATCCTCACCCTCCTCATCACAAACCCTTCGGCCATGGGCGAGAAGCCACCAGGAGAGAAAAATCATTTCTCCCCTCGACGCAGCGAGCACCCATGGGTGAGCGAGCTGTGGGGTGCTCCTCTGAGGCTCTGGGTCCCCAGGAGCCAGCCCTGGGCTCCAGCACCCCACCAGCACCCGGACACAACCAGAGGCAGCGTGGAGCATCTCCCCCATCCCAGCTCAACACGGGATCCGGGGCGCTGCGCTGACACGGAGCCAGGATGAGCTGTCTACGGAAACCTCCCAAGAGCCAAAAGTTTCAATTTTTGTTTATTTTGCTTTGTTTTTTTTCTCGTTCTCTCCCTTTCAAAGCTATTTGTTCCACGGGTGGTGGTCCCACGGCGTCACGCCGCCCCCTGAGCACACCCAGGGCGGGGGGACAGGGTTTGGAGTTTTCTCTGCGAGGCGCTTTTTGCTTCCACGATCACACAAACTGTAACAAGCTTTACAAGAAACACTGGCGAGTCCCGAGGTCTGGCAGCAACCTTTTTCTGTGTGGGTCAAGGGCAGGAGGTTCTCCCTTCCCCTCCTCCTCCATCATACGTGTCCTTTAGCCTCTTCACCTTCAGCACTGGATGTTTTCGGTCCCTTTTCACAGGTTGGTTTCTCCGCTGCTTTTTCAGCCCCAGTTTTGCTGGCTGCTTCCTGCAAAACAGTCAGTCACAGAGTCACAGCCTGGTTTGGGTGGGAGGAGCTCTTTAAAGCCCACTTAGTCCAGCTCCCCTGCAGTCAGCAGGGACATCCCCAACTAGAGCAGGTTGCTCAGAGCCCCAGCCAACCTCCCCTGGGATGGTTCCAGGGATGGGGCAGCGACCACCTCTCTGGGCAGCCTGGGCCAGGGGCTCACCAACATCAGCACACAAAATTTCCTCCTTCTCTTTAGCCTAAATCTTCCTCTTTAAGTTTCAAACTATCCCTCCTTCTCCTGTCCCAACAGGCCCTGCTCAAAAGTCTGTCTCCAGCTTTCTGACAGACCCCTTGAAGTCCTGGCAGCCCCCAGCAGGTCTCCCAAGGTCTCTATCAGGTGGGTGTGCAGAGGCACTTGTGAGTGGACACAACAGCACAC